TTAATAAAACTTGATTAAGACGGATGAGCTGTGGGATTATCAGATTAGTAAAAACTTGATTAACCAGAAACACAAGTCACTGATGAACATCTGAGGTTTAACTGTTCAACTCGTGAATCAACTTTGATCAGAAGTGGATTACTAATCTCTGCTCTCCTCCTCTCACTCTGGGGATTAGATTTATTTCAATGCTGCCGTTAAACCTGTCGTGGGCCGCAGGTTCGACTCCCACCTCCACAGTCGATCATGTTGGAGTCGTTGGGTCGCTCCAGGGGCCAACAGTCGTACTCGCTGTTGTCCAGGTCGTGCCAACAGAACGCAGAACCCAGAACCTGAGAACATCGTGGAACACACCTCGGAGCCGTCAGGAAACACTCGGACCATCAAAACATCTGAGCGAGCCCAAAACGCGCTCGCTCGCCAGCGTTTGGAGAACAGTCGGTCAAATCAACCAGAATTCAGCATTTCAAAATAAGAGTTCACAATCAGGTGGCAAATCTAAGAAAGTTTAAACATCCTGACACGTTGGATTTTAAAATCATTTAAAGACAACTTTTAAAGTTCCACTAAAGTCAAACTAAAATGACACAAAAGATTCAAATAAATCTGATGAAATTAATAAAATCTGATCATTTAGAGAACTTCAGTCACATTTTGGTCTTTAAAGCGTCTTTTTGATTCAGAGACAACATCTCACCCAGAGCAGGAACCACCGAGTCTGAAGGTCCTTCATGCTGCTGCAGAGGGACGAGGACAGAGACAGGGACAGGCTGAGGGACAGGCGGACAGAGGTGGACATTAGCAGTTTCTGAGCTGAAGGAAGAGGAGCAGAGATGATGATGATGATGATGATGATGATGATGAGGAGGAGGAGGAGGAGGAGGAGGAGGACCTGCAAGGAGCTCTGCTCCCCCTGCTGGTGGTCCTGCCTGCAGCTGTGTCCAGAGGAAAGTTGAGGTTTTTAAAGGTTTAAATAAATTCTTCTTTATGTTTTTATTTATTTATCATTTCTTGTTTAAAAAATAAAAGCCTAAATGTAGATTTAATGTGAAAGAACATGAAGGATTTCCACCAGAACAACTTCCTCTGATGTTTCCAGTCGCTGCACAGAAAAGGATCTGGTTGATTTCTCTGCTTGATGGAGCAGAAATATTAAAAAATAAATATTAAATATTAAATATTAAAATATTAAATATTAAATATAAAAATATTAAATATTAAATATTAAATATTAAAATATTAAAACATTAAATATTAAAATATTAAAATATTAAAATATTAAAAATATTAAATATTAAAATATTAAATATAAAAATATTAAATATTAAATATTAAATATTAAATATTAAATATATTAAATATTAAATATTTAAATATTAAAATATTAAATATTAAATATAAAAATATTAAAT